ACTCTATTTCGCCTATAATCACCTGTAAATGCCGGTCAAATGCTCACACAAGTACACCGCACGCTAGCTTCTGCACACTGACACATAAATATATATTTATGTGTCAGTGTGCAGTAGCTAGAATGCGGCGGCCAGCGTGTGACAGTGTGTTGCAGATGAGCATTTGGACGGGATTTACAGGAAATTGTCGGCAATAATAGGCGAAAGAGAGAAGAGAAACAGACTTTGGTAGTAAATAGATTTCTTATTTATTTAGCATTATATTTTATTGAATCGCTCCAAGTGCCTGTGATCCGGTCGTACGGACATCTGTAATATCCACCGTTAACATGTATACTGTATTACATACACAATACCTGTAATACACAACCTCGCCTGAACAATATCTCTATGAAAGGTTTAAACGCCCCCTGGCAATGATCGGACCGGAACGACCCGGAAGAATGAACGACCCGGAAGACAACATTCCTGCTGGGAAATAATCTTCTGGAAATTGGCAGCCTGGGCGTGATATCATATCAGGTAGGAAATTATCTGGGGGATATTATCAGGTGGGATATTGTTTGGAGAACTCGTAGAATATCAGCTACAGAATATAATCAGGGGTGAAATTATCCTGTAGTATATTGACTAAGGATAGGAATAACATTTTCAGTAGCATATTGTCTGTGGGAATGAATCATAATGGCCAGTAATTATTGTATATGGGAAGGAGCAATGTTGTTCAATAGTTTAATAATTATGAGGAATAATATAGTTCAGTAGTAATAGTATATTGTCTATGGGAAGGAATAATATTGTTTAGTAGTATATTGTCTATGGAAACGAATAATGTTGTTCAAGATATTATTCAAGATATATCAATATTATTTATGGGGAGGATATTATCATAGGCAATGAATGCAGTGAGTGACATGGCATGGAGTAACTGTTCTAATGCCTTGCTGCCTGGCTTCCATCCATTGCCAACAGTGCAGTTAATTGTATCAAGTCTGATGGATCCTCTATCAACGGCGTCATTAAAAATGTAAAGTAAAATTAACAGTGAGTATATAATAGAATCTGGCTTTCATACTGCTGGTCTATATCAGCACAAAACTACAAGAAGCTAATCTGGGGCAAGGGAAATATAATGGGTAAACCGTCTAGCACGCAGGCAGCTTCAAAGCAGCATAAAACAACATTAGTAAATTGTAAATTAAAATAGCAAAGATGTGTGATACAGCTTGCTACAACTGCAAAAACACACCAGTTTCCATGGAAATTGGATGGGCTTATCGAAATTACAGCTGTGAAACCTTTCGATTCACTGAATTACTTTTCCCCGTTTAATTTCCCAACCATGCTGAACTTATTAAGGTTTGGACAGATGTAAGTAAATTCGTTTGGCGCATGTGTGATACGTGATTCCAGTTAACCATGATATTTTTATGTATTTGCATTTATACACACGTGTACGCACGCGCGCACGCAGACGTATAGACACCATGCAGTTACTTTATTCCTGTAAAGACTCCGTTTTACTAGCATTACATGCTATTAAATTGATTGTATCTACAGAAGGAAATCGGCACCACCGCCACTGACTTTTATTAAAACGCAAAAAGCGACAGGTTATGCCACTATGAAAAACTCATTCATTGACATTACTGCAACATAAGTACACATTCTCTAATCAATACTTAGTATGCTGACAGGTGGCAAAATCTCTCACGCGTAACCCGTATCGCCAGGTACAGCCGTCCGGAACTTACCCTGTAGCTACGCTGTGAAATTCTAAACCTCACCGGTAGCTTGAAACCTGTCTAAAATTCTCCCACACCTACAATTCGCGATCGGCAGTTTGTAACCGCCCGACTCATATCTTTAAATACTGCAGCTCATAGGGTCTATGTCCCCCAGGGTACTGCCGGAACGTACCCTGGGTACGGTCCGGTATACCTGAACGTACCCTGGTCACTATTTGATATGGTTAAGGTTAGGATTAGGGTTAGGGTTCGGGTTAGGGTTAGAGTTAGGAAGTAGGCGTAGGCGAGTACCTAGACTCGTTAGTGGAGTAGGGCGAGTATGTCGCCTATGCCTACTCCCTAACCCTAACACCCTAACCGTAACCCTAACCATATCAAATAGTTACCACGGGTACATATTATACGCCATTATACGACAACGACCCTTCGTGCTACACTACGCGCCCGACTGTATGGAGCGCGCAGACTTTTCGAACGCGACTACACTCACGCGCCAGCGCTAGTTGCGTTTAATGTATTAATGCGCTATATGAAAAATCAATGAACATCACGCAGGGGTGGAACAAGCAACAGCTCTCATCTGTCTCTTCTCCCTATCTCTCCCGCGCGCGCGACGCTGCTTAGCACGCCGCGACGCCGCAGCGGAGCCGACCAGTGACGGCGGGTGAGGACGGCGGCCGCTGCTTGATACGTATTGACTACGTATAGATCATAGTAATACAGGTACGTACGAGACCGCTCGCCTGCCTGATGCCCGAGTCAGGTGCTACCCTGGGTCAACCTTTTGGCAATTGGCCCTATTTGACCCCTGGGCAAATAAATCCTTACGGAATTTTATGGGGGATAGACCTAGCTCCCTTTACGGAAATCCTCTCCTTATTACCTCTTTCTCGAATTAATGATCTATCTTTCTAATCATGACAAGTAGGGGTATGAGTGAAAAATGTATGTAGAAATTGTTAAAAAATCGAGATTTCGATTATTAAAATTGAATTAAAATGACGAATTTCGCACTTGAGACTAAATTTGAGACCGATTTCTTGCTGGGGCCCGATTCATCGCTGGGGCAAATGTTTGTAAATTCCAATTTTATGACGACTTTTACAGCACTTCTCGCTTAAGGACACAACTAATTACACATTGACACTAAGAGAGACAGAAAAAAATCATTACTATGTACGGGCAGTGTATCCACCAATCACTAGCCAAGCTGGTAACAAGTCTTGGGATTTACCTACTGCATCACAGCATACTCTTATATACTCGGTTAGATAAATCCATTGAGCATTTTGTTTGCTTGTTATACTAGAACCGGTACTATTAAATTCATCTATATATCAATATCGACTACAATATGAGCTCTTTCAAAGTGCGTTTTTCCTATACGAACAGCACGTACTAAATAACATAACTGTATCGTAGCCGTTCACACCTACGCTACTTGAAGCAGTAATAGGAGAGATGCATAAATTTACGGTAATTGAGTGCATACATTATATCGACATATTTTATTACATTGCATGCATATATTTGATTTGATTTCATCTTCCTTCCCACGTGTGGGCTCGTCGCGACTATCTCGTTCCTATTTTTTCTCTTTTCTCGTTTTCGTTAGCTTCCGAATGCATTCCGTTCAAATATTCCATACGCTCGTTCCCCAAAGAGCCAGAGTAGATCTTCACCTGCCCTTTTATATTTCACTTCTTCCTTCTTGTGGCCGATTCCCCGGTGTAGCCATCGATGTTGCAGCTCATCCCCTGAACGCTCACGCCTAGCACGTAACACCAAACCAACTTCTGCTTGTCACAGCTGTTGCCTGTCCTAGTTGGCTCTGCGTCGTGCTTCGGGCACCTATCTACTGACAAGTCAAGGCTGCCACGTTTTATGACACGTGTCGGCGCACGTAGAAGAAGAAGAAGCTGTGCCTACTATTTTTACCGGCATCCCCAAAACACGCAATGACACTTCAAAATTGCTCATACCCATGGAGTCTGCAATTATTCCGGCGATGCCTGGATATCCCCCCTCCCCAAGTGACTTCTTTTCGTGCTGGAATAGGGGTTTAGCAGGGGGGATGAAGGGGGGATCAGCAAGCGGTATTCATCTTTGTGTGATTCATAAACTCGTGACAAAATAGTGCGTGTAGAAACATCGCACTCTTGAGCCGTGGATTTGGAATGCGAATGTTTGTGGATGACTGTACAAAGACGCCGTGGCTACGCAGGACGTTTTTATTTCATGTAACTTGTGGCAGAAATTTTGGATCACATTTCTGCATGCAGATTGTGTAGATAGCGCACCGCACTCAATGTCTAGCTCAGACGTGATCGAGTAATTTGTCAAATTATACTCAGTTAATCCTACACATATCTCATCATCCAACTATATGATTAATGATATACATGACACGTTTAACTAACAACATATTAGGACACATTAGTGCTAACTAGAATATGCATGAGCAACATCCATCATCACCTTGACGTTTCTGCCAGGGTCAAATGTATATTGCATGTATTGCAGATATACATGTGTGCTAATATATAGCCAGTACTTAACGCAATCTGTCACATTGTCATGCTGAAACGGGATTCTGATGTATACATCATTTTTCGTATCTGGGTTAAATTTTTGTAATAACTTCTAATTATGCCACTGACACGGTATATGTTAGTCTCCCACTCTTTCTCTTTCACCCTATCTTGCTCTCATTATCCACTTCTGCTCCCCTATATGGACGACCCCCCCCCTCCCCCTTTTCTCAGTCACTCTACATTCCTCTCTCCTTCTCTCATTCTCTTATTTTTCATTCCTCCTTCCTTCCCTTGCCCTCACCTCCTCATTTCTCTCCCCTCACTCATTCCCTACCCTTCTCTACGTACCCTTTCGTCCTTCATTTCCTCTTGTCCTGGCAAGTGTTGTCCCATTTTCTTTTCAGCCTATTCTCTACGCCTTCCCCAATATCCCATCATAAAATTGAATCTTTCAGCACCCACTCACTTCGAGTCAGAGCGCTGATTGATGCATTCACCACTCTCGCTCTCTCCCTTCTCTCACTCTCTCTCTCTCTCTCTTTTTCCCCCTCTCTCTCTACGACGCACCAACCATACAGCCTCGAAATTGAAACGACGACCTCCGTCGTCCCAACAGACGTGTAATACAGCGGCATCAGCATGGTAATGGCTAGCACTGAATAATTGAGACGCATTGATTAAGCACCGTGGCATAAAGAGTTAACATCAGCATACTCACCAGGTGCTGCAAACTCTTGACATAGTATGGGTTAATGGCGATCGCATGCTCATAGTGCTGCTTCGCCTCCTCAAACTCTCGCCGATGCTCAAAAATCCTGCCCTTCTGCAAATGCGCGATGATTAAAACACAAGTCAATTAAAGAAAAAACAAACGGTTAGTTCTTTTTTTGCAATTAAGCGATGAACTTCTTTAAGTGCTGTTATCTAGTCTGCTTTGTGAAACTGTATGTTTACTCTGCCTCCAAAAAAGATTACGCACTGTAAAATATTACTGAAACAACCATTTTACAATTAACCGTACTTTAAAAGAATATTAACATAATTCAATTTAAAAAAATGACATGTGGTTTTTTGTTGACTAACAATTATGTTAATGATAGAGGAAATAATTGGGGGTGGTGTTGCTAAAATTTCAAAATAAGACAGTTGATACTGTAAACATTGGAAAGATGTGGAAGACAGACAAAGCATACCATGTGTAAAACAAGATGTGAAAGGGGGAAGGTACTGCTGGCTTCTTGCACACATCTCTCTGCCTCCACTGGTTGGTCAGAAGAAAGATATAATTCAACTACAAAAAACAACCAACTGGTCAAATCGGTGATCCATTCTAAAATGTGTTTTTTTGGGGGGGGGCAGAAAGAGGACTAACACACAAGTTGATGACTAATGAGGAAGATTGAATTGTGACACAAACAATGTAGACAAATATTAAGATATCATGCTATATAATAATTAATGGATACTTAATAAGGACTATGTACAAGAATGGATTTGCTTTCTGTGATTTTTCAGAAAAACATTTTTCCTACTACTCGGAGAACTAACTCTAAAGCTTGATGGCTCTGAGGAGTTATTACACTGACCTTGAACGATAGACAGCTGTAGCGGATATTGCGACAAAACACTAAAACACCAATGCAAAACCTTTAATGAGCTTCTAGATTAATGTGATTGCTTCTCCTCTTTTAATACATTCAGAGACATGCAATAATTTTCTTACACATTTCTGATGTCATCTGCTTAAGTGCCACAAAGTATTTTAACATATTATGCAGCCCATGTTCTCCAGTCGTATATGGGTTTTTTCAAATTCACATGATTAAGAATAAATTAATAGGTAGCTAATCAACAGGGATAGCATTAAAATATTCACGAGGTTTTGCAAAGAAGCTAGGAGGCTTTCAGGCAGAGCTACATAAAGAAATAAAACAAAAGTAGCGTTCAACATATCAATAGCAATAGGAAAAACTAAAAAATTGAACAAAATCATATAATAAAATTTAGAAATCTGGATTGTAGCATCATTGTACAGGATGTTCTAAGCTGATAGGTAAATATAGGACTAGAATATACTAGAACTTTAAGCGGGGAATTAAAACTACCACATATGCAATTGAACTGGCTGTTAATGACTGCAAGGACAGATCATGGGAAATGCTATTACTGTATTTCTTACGTACAAACAGCACTAAGTTGTTATTGTGTAAGGCATTTAATCATAAAAGTTAACAGGGCAAGGAATTCTACCTCAAGGACATTTTTTAAGATAGAGTTTATTATATAGTGAAATTAAGCATGAAATGCCATGCTACAGGAACTGATTGCTAAATTTTGTGTGTCTTTGTAGACTTTATATGTAATGCTGATGGGGTCTACACACGCATGGGTGTTGCAGCCTGTTATATAACACATACCACCAGTAACTACATTGATGCATGCCAGGACTGATACGTGTTTTTCCATGGCACGTAAAAGCAGGCCGTGGCCTGCTCCAAAAATAGGGAATATGTTTTTTGTTTAGCCATAGGGCTCAAGGGGCATTATTATTATTGATAAAAAATACATGCATTCTGCCCTATTTTGAGCACAACAATATGCCATTGCAGAAGCGCTGCCTGTGCAAAAGCCTCCATGAAACAAAAACGGAAATGATAAAAGCAATTTTACTTGAAGGTAATAACGTAGAACAGGTACAACAGCTCGGGGTCATAAATAACTAAATGCTGGGTGACGCAATTAAAGGGGATAGTAGACTCTAAGATTTTACTGCATACAACTGTACTTACTGTATAACAAATCGTCTATAGACTCTATACCCACACGTATTTGTTACCAGATACCTAATTTAATTGTTATAATTAATTACACATCAACGCTATGAAATTTGAACGGCGCCATGACACCCGCGACCGTGCTGTAGCCACATACTTAACGCAATCTGTCACATTGTCATGCTGAAACGCGGATTCTGATGTATACAATCATTTTTCGTGATCTGGTTTAAATTTCATGCGTATAACTTCCTTTATGCCGACTGACACGGTATAGTGTTAGTCTCCCACCTTCTCTTCACCCTATCTGCTCTCATTCTTTCCACTTCTGCTCCCCTCATAGACGGCACCCCCCTCCCCTTTCTCAACTCACTCTACATCTCTCTCCTTCTTCATTCACTTATGTCATCTGCCTTCCTTTCCTCTTGCCCTCACCTCCTCATTTTCTCTTCCCTCATCATTCCCTACCCTTCTCTACGTACCCTTTCGTCCTTCATCTTCCCTCTTGATCCTGGCAGAACTGTCAGTCCCATTTTTTTTTCAGCCTATTCTCTACGCCCTTCCCCAATATCCACATAAAATTGAATCTTTAAGCACCATCTCCTTCGAGCTCAGAGCGCATGATTGATTGCATCACGCAACTCTCGCTCTCTCCTTCTCTCAACTCTCTCTCTCTCTCTCTTTTTCCCCTCTCTCCTCTACGACGCACCAACCATACAGCCTCGAAATTGGGAAACGACGGACCTCACGTCGTCCCAACAGACGTTAATACAGCGGACAGCAATTGGTAATGCTGCACTGAATAAATTGAACGCGCATTGATTAAGCACCGTGCGATAAAGAGTTAACATCAGCATATCATCACGAGGTCTGCAAACTCTTACATAGTGATGGGTTAATGGCGGATCGGCATGCTCAATAGTGCTGGCTGTCGCTCTCCTTCAAACTCTCGCCGATGGCTCAAAAACTGCCTTCTGCAACATGCGCGATGATTAAAAGACACGAAGTAAATTAAAGAAAAACAAACGAGTTAGTTTTCTTTTTTTGGCAAATTAAGCGCAATGAACCTTCTTTAAGTGCTGTTACTCGTAGTCTGCTTTGTGAAACTGTATGTTTACTCTGCTCCAAAAAAGATTATCGCAACGTAAAGATATTACTGAAACAACCATTCTTTTACAATTAACCGTACCTTTAACAAGAATATTACATATTCAAGTTTAAACAAAATGTACATTGTGGTTTTTGTTGACATAAACAATTATGTTAGGATGATAGAGGAACATAATTGGGGGTCGTGTTGCTTAAAATTCAAAATAAGACAGTTGATACTGTTAAACATTGGAAAGATGTGGAGAGACAGACAAAGCTACCATGTTGTAAACACAGATTGAAAAGGAGGAAGGTATGCTGGCTTCTTGCACACATCTCTCCTGCTCACTGTGTTGGTCAGGAAAAAGTATATCACTACAAAAACACAACCAACTGTCAACATCGGTGATCCATTCTAAAATGATCTTTTTGGGGGCGGGGGGCAAAAGAGGACTAACACACAATCTGATGAATAATGAGGAAGATTGGAATGCTACACAAACAACGTAGACATACTATTAGATATAATGCTATATAATAATTAAGGGATACTTAATAAGGGACTATGCTCAAGAATGGATTGCTTTCTGTTGATTTTTCAAGAAAAACATTTTCCTACTACTCGGGAGAACTAACCTAAACCTGATGGCTCTGAGGAGTTATGTACACTTGACCTTGAACGACTAGACAGCTGTAGCGGATATTGGCGACAAACAACTAAAACACCAATGCAAAACTTTAATGAGCATTCTAGATTAATGTTTGATTGCTTCTGCCTTTTTAATACGATTCCAGAGACATGCCAATATTTTTCTTACACATTTCTGATGTCATCTGGGCTTAAGTGAAGAAGTATTTTAACGATATTATGGCAGCCCATTGTCTCCAGTCGTATATGGGTTTTTCAAATTCACATGATTAAGAAATAATAATAGTAGCTAATCAAAGGATAGCATCTTAAAATATTCACCGAGGGTTTTTGCAAACCGACGCTAGAGGGCTCAGCCAGAGCTACAAAGAAATAAACAAAAGCTAGCGTATCAAACTATCAATAGGCAATAGGAAAAACTAAAAATTGCAAACAAAATGTGATATAATAAAATTAGGAAATCTGGATTTGTAGCATCATCGTAGCAGCGATGTTCTAAGCTGAATCGGTAATATAGGACTAAATATACTAGAAGCTTTAAGACGAGCGGATTAAACTAACAATATATGCCAATTGATACTGGCTTTAAATACTGCAAAGGACGATCATGGTTATCTATTTACTGTATTTCCTTACGTACAACAGCACTAAGTTGTTATTGTGTACGGCATTTAATCACTAAAGTTAACAAGTGCAAGGAATTCTTACCTCGAAGACATTTTCTTAAATAGACGTTTATTAAAGTGAAATTAAGCATGAAAATCCATGCTACAGGACGATTGCAATATGTTTGTGTGTCTTTGTAAGACTTATATATGTATGCTGATGGGTCTAGCACACGCATAGGGTGTGTGGCAGCCTGTTATATAACACATACCACCAGTAACTACATTGAGCAGCCTGGACTGATACGTGGTTTTCCATGGGCACGTAAAAGCACGGCCGTGGCCTGCTCCAAAATAGGAATAGTTTTTGTTGTATAGCCATAGGGCCAGGGGCAATTATTATTATTGATAAAATACATTGCATGTCTGCCTTATTTTGAGCACCAACAATATGCTATTGGCAGCAGCGGCTGCTGTTGCAAAAGCCTCCACGAAACAAACACGGAAATGACATAAAACAATTTTTATCGTTGAAGTACGTAGAACAGGTACATACAGCTCGGGTCCCAATAAACAAGTGCGCGGCGACAGCGCTATCTAACGTCTACTGCGGACTCTGTGGTGGAGTGGTGGGCATTCTAGTAAACCCTGTTAGCGCCAAAATGTGTTTCACAACCGCCGAAACAGTGAATGCGACAGGGCATGGTATCAGGAACCTTCTCAAAAGAATGGTTCGTGGGACGTTATGAAAAGTTGCACGAGATGTGCGTGACGTTTATATTTACAGAATTAAGATGAAGCCCCATCCTACGTAAGTCGCAATCAACTATCTGCAAGACAGAATAGGTAACACTCACCGATTTACCTACGCAAGCACAGGCTGCAAAAGAGAGCTGCCACCTGTAACCAATTAACCAGGAAAACTCACAGTACACAACACATCTGGCAGTGAGCCACTGGCAGTGGCATACGTTACATCGTAACAATACTGACAGTACAGAATGCCATGAAATTATAATCGATTAAGGAGGCATAAACCTTCTTTAACCAAATTAGCTTTTGAAGATTTCAGCTTGTGACCTTGTAGCCTCATACATCCAGGCAATTGTATAGATTCTACTCAGCAAACCGCGGCAGTCAAAAGTTCTTTCTAAACATAACAGTCAACAAGATCCAGTTTTAACCCTCCTCTTGAGGTCAAAAGGTTATGAGTGACATCTTACTTTCGCAGTCACAGAAAGAGATTCATGGTCCTTTCAATAATGGCCATAAAAAATGCTAGTCACGCCTAAACAAAAAAGTTTTTCAATCGCTCCGTCAGACCATGTTCTCAGAAGAATGTCTAAAATCGGCCGTGCCCATTGACCTTGACCTGTGACCTCCAATTTCGGCACAGTGATGGCTTTTCTACCAGTGAATGGCTATACAACCGACTATCACGAGCCTAGGTCGAGCCGTTTAGATTTTGTGCCGGCAATTCTGCATTTTCTCCGCGAATACTTAGAGTTTAAGGAGTGAATGTTCCCCCTTCTTTCACACCTCTGAGCCTTTGACCTTGACCCCCAGTCTTCGACACATCCCCACTCGTTCTTCGGATTACCCCCACGTCCCGAAGATCGTGACCCGTACGCGGCGTTAAGATTCTGTGCCCAACGTTGACGACGACTCACGGACGCACGACGTGCACGCAGCGGCACGCACGACGACATGCGATCTGACAAGCTCGCATCTGACTATTCGATGAGCTTATAACTAAGAAGCTGGGTGCGCAATTAAAGGGGATAGTAGACTCTAACATTTACTGCATACAACTGTACCTTTACTGTATAACAAATCCGTCTTATAGACTCTATACCCACACAGTATTTCATTACCAAAACGATACCTAAATTTAATTGTTATAATAATTAGCACATCAACGCTATGAATTGAACAGCGCCATGACACCCGCGACGCGTGCTGCGTGCACCTGAAAAAGTTGCGTATATTTGCCAATTTATTTTGCACGGTTACTGACGGAGGCTATCACAAAAGTCGCCATTATATACTATACATCTAAATGCTGTCGTTATATAATACGTACAATCGCCTTTGGCTTCAAATGAAGTCAATAGAAACACCCTCGGTCTGTAGCCCTATGGCTGAAGTGGTTTTGGCGCAACTTATCAGATCGTGCGCTTTGAGTGGCGCCAGCCGTCGCTTGTAATCAAACTGTAGTCGTGTAGTTTTCAGAACATTTTTTAATATATTTCTCAATGTGATGAACGCATGCAACTTTTTATGTAGCGTAATTTTAACCTAAATAAAGGCCATAATTTCGACCATCGATTATGCAAAGTTGACGGAATGCTACCGTAACTGGGCACCTTGTGTATCTAATAAGTATTACTTATGAGGCCAACGCGTATTAGTTTGTATCCAATATCACTGTAATTACTAAGAAATTCTAATGAAATCGTAATTTTGGTAATCTGGCGACAAGCTAAATTTATTACTCACAAATAAACATGCGAGTTCGGTTCGGTGACTCACATGGTTGCTACAGGATGTTGAGCATAGAATTGTTTGTCGCGGCGGGTAATTGTTTGCCTAGTGTTATTAGTTTGCCCTAGTTGCCACATATTTATGTACTTGTAATCTCAGAAGAACTTCGTAATTCATTTATTGCCGAATCCAAGAGTAAACCATAAACGTACGGAATGCGCACTCAGACTACAAGGATCGAAATCAACTGGAAGGCCGAGAGATCGTGTCGAAAATGCGGTGCATCTATAATCTGTAAACACCAGAGCTCGCCGGTTACGGTCCGTTACGGCCGCATGGCCGGTTTTGTAAGCTGCACAACCGATTTTCTTGACGGCGATTTCATTAGAACATTTCTTAGTAACCAGCAGTGCATATTGGACAAATAATACGCTTTGCTTATAATAATGTACTTATTAACTACACAAGGTCCAGTTACGTAGCATTCGTCACCTTGTGCATAATCGGGAATGGTCGAATTATGCCTTTAACTGAAAATAACCCTACGAACCTAGAGTAAACGATCACTTAACGCTCTTGCTGAATGCACATTGTGCTGGCACCTCTTGGTTGAAAATCGAATATATAATTGCGTACCTGGCTGTCATGACATCTTTGTAGTTCTACAAACAGCCCCAAACATTTAAATAAATAATACGACAATAAATAAAATAAAATTAATAAACATCTAATACTGGCGCAACCAACAACACACTAGCTTCAGTGTTCCACAAGGCTGGGTTCTCGACCCCTGGGGTCGCAAAGGTAGTACTGGGGGGAGGGGGGTCTGTGAGGTAAGTCAAAATTTCAAGAATGTTCCAGCGTAAAGAACAGTATAATTACACGATAAGGTGCAAAGATAAACTTTATTTCAAACTATACTTTCAATTATTTTTTCAAAAATTTTTATTGCAAATGTAATGTTTCGTTGGCTTTTGCTGTAATATTATCAAACTAGGTATGGAACATTCTCCATGGATGGGGAAAACGTTTTGTTGCTTGTAATAAAATTGCTTGTTGAGTAACTGACTTCAAAACCCTAGGTTTTGTGGAAAATTAATTTCAAATAAAAGGGGCCTATCGGTGGTGCAAACGGTTGGAACCACTGCACAACTGATTCAATCGTGGTGGTAACAATATGAAAATGTTCCTTAAAAACTCGATCCTGGCAAAATCTTGTAGGCAATGTACATCTCGTAATGCTTATCTAACTACCGAGTTGCAACGCAGATGCGAGTTTGTGTCATCCAGTATTTGTGTGCCTGATTCGGAGTAAGCGGTCAATAGAAGAGTGCAACCTCTGAAAGTGCATGGCTCCACTCTTGAGGCTGCACTGATCGCACAGATCCCACAACTGCACAGAATAACAGATTGTTATTATTAACTAAGATTAATTAGCTTGGCTGCAAAATATATCGATCTGTAGTTTCTGAACACCACCGAATACACCTTTGCACTGCACACGTTCGGTTAGATACATCAGTGACATGCTAATATAACAGGGATTGCTGTTTGTAATGTTTCATTGCTACTCAACACTATATATATCAGGATCGGGACCTGACAACTTTGTTTTCCGTGAAAAATAGCGGGGTCAGCCGGGGGGGGGAGCTGGCGGCGCGGTCAGGTCCAGGGCAAAGCCTGGCTAGGGGGTTCAGGAAGAGTTTTTGAATTTCACAACTTACAAAGGCCATAAAATTGGGCATTAGGAGACACAATACAGAACCAGAATTGTTATCAGAAGCAATATTACAGTACACTGCATGGAGATATATCTTGCACTGTCCATTGTCTAACCGTAGATATTAATAATCAATACAGAAAATTCTTAGCATGTCTGCGAAAAACGAAAATTATTTTAATGTACACTTCCACACTGTCTCCAAAGGCTACCTTTATTCATAATATAAGGATGTTCAATGTGTCCAGGCAGTTTCAATTTGTTCTGCGTCACTTACAGTGAGATATTTTATCATATATGGAAACTCAACTTAGGCGGCTTGTCGCTGGCGCAGCAGAGTCTGTGATCAGGCCCACATTTATCAGATATCAGGAAAGAAACGCTCTTATTTTGCTACGCGACAAAGGTTGCCCAGAAAAATCCTCCCTTTGGCTCGCATCGATATAATATTCCTAACACCCAAGAGAGTTGGGCGCTGAGGTCGCGCATTAATTTTTTTGTCGTTTCAAGGGTCACCGAACAAAAGGCAGCCTTGCGACCTCCACTTTATAGGTTATGTATAATGATTATATAGACAGAACTTCGTTGGCGAGAAGGGCAACACAGTTCGTTACCTAACGTTTCGCTACCACCGTGAAACGTCGCAGAGCCTGGGCCATACGTTCATTAATCGAAACGAGCTTCAAGGGGTCACGCGTGTACGCGGTGGCTTTTTGATGGTACACGATCGATCGATCGCGGTACGTATATCGGGCCAGGGCGTAGCACCGCGCAGCACACAGTACCAACACACACACTTACACGTCAAATAAACGCACACACTGGCAATCGTCTGAATCTCAAACAGTGAACTAAGCCGTGTTATATTGTAAAGCGAACACTAATATACAATGTATTAAATGAAGGTACTGTGGACTGTAAAATGAAACTTTGTACATTCTAACCCCCCTAAAATTTCTCTCAACAGATTAGACTTTCACAAAAAATCGACCCTGGGACTGTGAAATCGGGATTTCGCAGATCCGCGGAAGATTCCTCATCGCTGATATACCTGTAGGGGTGAAAAAAGATGCATATACATTAGACGAGGATTTTGTAGAAGTTCACGTTTCCTCTTGCATCACCTCATTTTTCTTTGGATTATCTGTTTTTTCTGTGTTACATTTTGCAGTAACTATGGATATGATGTGTATTTTTTATTTATATAATTATCAGTAATGCCTACTTGACTCTCCATCACCATCTTGGCCATAGTGAACAGTCCTGACATCATATATGCTCCTCAGCAGGCTCTTTGGATAACCTACATAGACACTAGGAATCAATCTTAATGAAAGTGTCAATGACACTATAGCTCACTTGGTGTGATAGAAGAGGAGATGATATTTAAATTTGGTAAGTGTTTCATTTATGACAGACCGAAATGTGATCAAATGTCTTATTCCATGTTTGTATACTAATATAAATTTTACTGTTTTGTTTCAGGGTTGTTTTTGATGCAAAATAAATGTTTCAGATCTGAAAGTCTGAAATGTGGCGAGAGATGGCGCTACGCTAAATGATCGCCATTATGGTTTTCGATGATCGCTCAATAAAGTAATAAAATATTCCAGTCAAATTACGTAACAAAGAATCTAAACACATATTACACGTAGGTATGATTAGGTAGGTAAGTAGGTAGGTAGGTAATAGGTGTAGGTAAATTTAACAAAGATCGAATGAAATCTAG